CGTCGTCGTTTACATGTTACACTATCGCGCGCGTGCACCGGGTGGAAATTTGTCAGAGGCGATCCCCCCGTTGGACGGATCGATGATGGACGGATCGAGGGACGATCGAACGAGATCGAACGGATCCGGGGACGACGGAGTAAAGGTGAACCGAAGCGAGCATGCCGAACGTCGCCGGCCAAGTGAGAGGCTAGCGGCACTACCGACCAGCCAATGTGACGTCAGAGTGCCTCCTCTCTTTTTGCCATTCCACGGCGAGCGCCGCGAGAAAGGTGCCTGTACAACTTCGTATCCCCTTCTCTTCTGTCCTTGTTTGCGAGGAGGAACGAGGAGACCTTAAGGATAATGCTTCGCTGCCAGAGAATATTTTCATCGAAATTCTTTGGACGAATTACCTTTTCAGCTTCGTGTTCCGACCGATCGTTCGCGAAAATGTTATCTTTCGAGAGAGAGAGAGAGAGAGAGAAAGAGAAAGAAAGAGAGCGAGAGAGGACAATGCTTCGCGCGACTAGCTTTTTATAGAGTTCTAGAATCGAATCTGAATTTATTGTTATTATTATTATTATTTCTAATAAGAAAAATTTTTTTTAATTTCGTTACGTTAGCGTTTCGAAATAGCTCGGAGTATTTCGAAGTAAAAGAGTATGCTATTTAAATTAGTAGGGGAACCGATGGATGTGTCACGTTGGTTCGTCGGACAAACCGGTGGATTTGCTCGAGGTTTTCGATGAAGCGTGAAAATAAGAAATTGGTACGGCCGGATCGATGGGAAATTTTTGCGGTGACTCGTGAAACGCGTTAGATATTTCGCGTATACGGAAAGACGGATAATGTTATAGGTTTTAATAATTCAAGGAAATCGTATCGCCGCTTTTCCTTCGTTACGTATTCGATAGACTTGTCACGGGTATAAATCTAATTAATGAAGTTTCAACGAATCAAGTTTGACGAAATTAATTCAATCGATTGTTGGGTAACAGATTCGGTCTCGATTTATAGGAGAATTGTATAAAATAAAATAAAATAAAAAAAATTGTAAGAAAAATGTCAATTCAATTTAATTATTTTAAACGAAACGATATATATATATATATATATATCGTTAGTGGATCGTTATACG